ATATATCTTGCTAAAAATCACAATGAGCCTTACTCCATCTGTATGGTACCGACCGGTCAATTTGGGGGGTCTGGCTCATAGCCTATCGCGCAGTGACGGCTATTAATAAACTTGCTGCATCTCTACTGCACCAGCGCGTGGCCAGTGCCAGGCACCGGCTGAAAAAAAAACAATGTGTCCAAGCGAACAATGCGAACAATCAGTGCAAATTTTATACAGTGCAACTGAAATGAGGAATATAACCTTGCCGCTGCGGAGTGCGGAAATTAAGCCTAGAAATCGTAATGATTCCGCAGAATGCGGAATGGTTGGAGACCCTGTTTATGGAGATTGTGCATTAATATAGTAGAGTAATTAATCCTTTGTGTGCCTGTATATGTGTGTGCGTGTGTGCTGTGGCTGATAATTTAAAGATATTATTATACAGTTTCATGCTTGCAGCTACACTTTGAAACCACTAGTGATTTATTCATGCACCTTATCCCACTTACACTTGGGTCGTCTAGGCAGGCTCCAATAAATTTGATAACACATGGATGATTGAGTTGGCAGATGATGGACACTTCTCTGCAAAACATGTCTACATCCGATTTGGCACATAGTATATTTGCACGATACCTAAAACATAAACACATACCAACAGCGTTCAAACATGCTAATTGTAAAGGGTTGAAAACGACACTGTGAATAAATGTTTTAAGATAGCCCTATAGTATATTTATTTATAGACGTTGATAACTTGACTCTGTCTGAGGTCGAGAACAAATGATTTTATCAACTGATACCTTAAAGCTCGCAAAAATCTACCTAAACTGTAACTACACTCGCTAAATTCTGAAACGAATCATAAAACTGTCAGATTTCTTATTTGGCCAATGATGCTAAAGTATCCATTACCTGAGATTCTTTTAGATAGCCAAAAAAAACAAGAACCCCCACACCCCAAAAAACAAGCCCCAATAAAACATGTTTTCATGTGCACCTCTTGACAAAAAAGCAAGCCCTCAAAACACCATTGTTTTGCGCAAACCTCTAAACCAAAAAAACCTCACTGTTTCATGTGCCTCTCTTAACAAAGAACAGGCCCCAAAAATACAATTGTTTCATTGAATCCTCTTAACAAAAAAGCCCAAAATTTTCCTTGTTTTATGCAAACCTCATTTTAAAAAACCCAAAGAAACAGTTTCTTGCAAACCTCTTAAGAAGAAAGCCAAAAAACAATTTCTTGCACACCTCTTAACAACAAACAAGCTAAAAAATAAAAAATTGTTTTGGGTGCACCTTATAAAAAACAAGCCCAAAAAGAACACCATTTCAGATGTACCTCTTAACAAAAAATAATCCCAAGAAACACTGTTTCAGGTGCTCTTCTTACCATAAAGCAAACCCTTGAACTGTTAAAAGAACATCGTTTCAGTCGCACCTCTTAACAAACAAAAATGAAAGTGTCAATGACACTGTAGTTCACCACAATGAAAGTGTCAATGACACTGTAGCTCACCACAAAAAAGAACACAAATGAGTGAGTAAGAAGAAGTCAGTTTTAATTGAGCAACCATCGACGTACATTATAGAAACGATTGCCATCTGTATATCGCAATAATAATTTATAAACCAAAATGAATCACAATTTGTGACCGTAGATGGCGCTATACCCGCTTTGTAGCGATGGAGCTTGAAATAAATAGGTTATGCTGTGTTCCGACATGTTTTGTAAATCTTTACTCTAATATAGACGTTTTATCGGCAGAGTGGAGAGGAAATACCAATTTTGCATTAAAGATATTGTCAATGAAATCTTGTAAAACAAACCAGACGAGTTTGACACCACAGACTGTTTGTGTTTATATAATATGCTATATAATTGCCAAACCCTACCTAATTTGCATAATTTTCAAAAATCAAAACCCCTAGCCCTTATTCATTCACATACCAAAAATGAGCAAAATCCGTTGAACCTGAACTGACTAATGGCAATTCCCATTTTTGCCAAAAAATTGAAAGTACGTCGACTAGCGTGCTTCAAATAGGACGTTTAATAATGGGAGATCAGCATAACAACTATACCCAATTTCAAACATACGGACGGACGTACGACGACCCATGACAATAGCTCAGATTGACGATGTCAAAGTGAGCTAAAAACAAGCCAAAAAACATTTTTTATCGCACCTCTTGACAGCAACGAACTTTCCGCGGTGCATGCCCTTGTAGACGTTGCCGAACGAACCGCTGCCGATCGTCTCCAGACACTCGATGTCAGTAAGCACCATGCGAAACTGGCTGTGCAGCGTCGACCTCAGGCGCAGGACGTCTATCTTCTCTGTAAGCATTTGCACATTGGTTGTGAGGGTGTGGCAGGGACTAGCTTTAATTACATGAGACAGATGACCTACAGTTCATTTGCCATTCTTGTGCCTAACCAGCTATATTATGTAATGTGATATATGTTATCATTATAAATCTGCAATTTTACATTATATAGACGTAGCTTATGCAGAAATAAACATCTGCACCACATGTCATACAGCTTAATTTTGATACAACTCTCAATTTATCAATTAAGACATAGATGGTTCTGATCATACATGTTATTGCAGGGGTAGACTAGTGCAGGGCATGGTTTGCACTTCAACATGGTATGAATAGCTAGCAAATATGAAGTCATTCCACAATATAATCCCTGCAGATTACAGCACCAGCCACAGGAGGTGTACATGTAGCTCTAACTACATGTGATGGCAGTTCAGATTCAGATTTCATTTCCATGCAGATCTTGTCATCAGGTCCTATTTGCCCAGGGCAAGGACCAAGTGGGGAGAGAATTCGCTATGCGTCATAAGCCTAAATCCAATGAAAGTACAAAGGCATTCCTACTGGAGCTGAAGCAATTCATGAAAGGGTCCAATGAAGCAATGAGCATGGAGTTTCTGAGTGACAGTGTGGACCAATACGAGGCAAGAAGAAGTCTCTCACCCCTAGTCATGCTACGCAGTTTGCCCAGGGGTGATGGCACTGACACATATGAGCCCTCCCCTCCAGGCTGGGAGTAATCCCCACAGGCTGACTGATCGTGGGGTCTCTTATGGTGCTTTAGAAGAGTCACAATGGCATCATGACCTGTCAGTTGGAAAATACGGTACAGCTGGTATATTATAGCCTTTTCCAATGGACATGACATAAACCAAGATAACACACTTTCAATGCATATATCCCTCTGTTTAAGAAATTTAACATTAGAAACATGCACAATGACTGAACCCATTTTACAGCAAACTGCGATAGTTATAGTAGCTACATAATTGATAATATTCAGATTTTATAGACATGCGCCTCGTACACGACATTATAGACATCCAACATGTAATACCTCTCTCATATGCCCACATCAGGCAGGTCTGCTCCTCCTTTTTCTCACTGCCATTGCTCTGGTCACTGGAGTATGCAGTCAGGTTCATGTCTGCTCCATGGTCAAGCAGATACTGCACGACCTTGATATGACCGTGAAAACAGGCACTGTGCAATGCTGAAACAGACAAAGTTCGCATTTAAATTTTACAGCAAGGCGAATGTTTCCTTTAGTTCAAACAGAAATTTCAAGTACCACGGCAAGATTGAGGGAGCACCATGGCAATCATTTCTTTCAAAGAAGGATTATCAAACCCACTTAATTTTCAACAATTTTCATGTGTGACTACATGGTACGCATAAACAAACAAGTGCCGCGGAGCGACAGCGCTCATCTAACGTCTACTGCGGTGACTCTGTGGTGGAGTGGTGGGATTCTAGTAAACCCTGTTAGTCCCAAATGTGTTCACATACACGCCGAAACAGTGGAATGCACAGCGATGGTATCAGGAACCTTCTCAAAGGAATGTTCGTTGGGATCGTTATGAAAGTTGCCACGAGATGGCGCGTACGTTTAAGTGTCTTCAGATTAAAGATGGAAGCTCCCATCGTACGTAGTAGCAACAACTATTTGCAAGACAGAATAGGTAAGCACTCATCCATTTACCTACGCAAGCCTACAGGCTGCAATAGAAAGCTGCCACCTGTAACCAATTAACGCAGGCAAAAACTACACAGTACCACCACCACATGCACTGCATGGCAGTGGCCACTGGCAGTGGCATACATTACATGTAACATACTGACAGTACAGAATGCCATAGAAATTATATGATTTAAGGAGCATAAACCTTCTTCAACCAAATTTAGCTTTTGAAATTTCACTGTGACATTGTAGCCTCATACATCCAGGCATGTATAGATTCTACTAGCAAACCCGGCAGTCAAATTCTTTCTAACAGACAGTAAACAAATCCATGTTTAACCCTCCTCTTGAGGGTCAAAAGGTTATCCGACACTTACTCTTCGCATGTCAGCAGAAGGTACATTTCATGGTCCTTTCAATAAAGCCATAAAAATGCTAGGTCACCGCTGAAACAAAAAAGTTTTTCAATCGCTCCGTCAGACCATGTCCTCAGAAGATGTCTAAAATCTTCCCTGTGCCCATTGACCTTTGACCTCCAATTTCGGCACAGTGATGGCTTTTCCTACCGTGATGCTATACACCGACTATCACGAGCCTAGGTCGAGCCGTTTAGATTTGTGCCGCAATTCTGCATTTCCTCCCTATACCTTAAGTTAAGGAGTGAATGTACCCCTTCTTTTACACCTCTTGACCTTTGACCTTTGACCCCCAGCTTCGACATCCCAACTCGTTTTCGGATTACCCCCCCACGTCCCGAATATCGTGACCGTACGTCGAGCAGTTAAGATTTGTGCCCAACTGTTGACGGACGGACGGACGGACGCTCGCACGGACGGACGATCATGTGATTCTACAAGCTGCATCTGACTATGTCAGATGAGCTAAATAAGGGAATTAAAGTGAATGATACAGAGATAAACAAGGTAGGTCAGCCATGCTAGTTTAAAACCAGGTTGGCATTAGTAAATTTTCAAGGACACCTCAGTTATTAGGGATGCAACCACGACCCCTTGCTGTTGGTAAAATTCATACCCTTTACGGGCATATATCACTGAAAGCTCCTATCTATGGCACGTAAAGAAAATACATATATTACATACACACGCGCAATAGCAGGCTCAAGTAAGTACCTACAAACTATAGGAATGACGTTATAAAGTCACTAAAGCAAACCTACCAGTATGACCATCTTTTCCTTGACAGTTAATGCTAACTTTTTGATCCAGTAGAAACTGGATTAGGTCCAAACTCTTGCCATTAGTACAAGCTCTGAAATAAGCAAAATCATTAAGGTTAATATTAACATATAATGATTATCGGTTTAACATTCAGGGTGAATATTTAAAATTTAGAATTTTATATTACAGGTTTCAACATTACTAGTACATAGCACATATATAAACGCACGTATGCACACACTAACACAGATGCACGAAGGCATGCATGCACGCACGCACGCACGCACATGCATATATACAACCATGAAGGTCTAGAACTCACGCATGCAGGGCCGTCTCACTGAAGATGTTTTCCATGGGTACACTGCCCAGTCCAACAGTCTTTATGAATTGCTTCACTAGACCATACCTTCCACTATAGCAAGCTCTGAAGCAAAGCAATAGAGCACAACCCTCATACCTTCCTAAACAAGACATACCGATTTGTATTAGACGTCTTGCTGTTCAAAATCACAAGCCTTGCTGTGGCTTTGGCTTTATATAGCTAGTTTTCTTGTGTGTTTTCCCAGTGCTATGCTATCTTTGTTGACACATTTACACGACTGTCTGTATTATTTTACACTAAGTACTTGTTAAACAACAACATGAGGTGATGTGATATGTGATATGAGGTAATGTTGTGTGATGTTATGTCATGTGATGTCAAGCTGAATTGGATATATGAGCCTTCTTACATAATAACGATGTTTTATTTTGCATGCTGGATTGTTTCTCTCACACGCTACACAGCTCAATCTCTATACTGCGCCGACTCACAAATGCATTGGTGTGTCACCATAAATGTTTGCCTCATGTGGCTTTGTCAGGTGTTCTGGTTGCAGAAGGTAAGAGACGATCGCAGTGTGGCCCGTCTTGCAAGCAAAATGCATAGGAGTGTGCTCCTCTACATCCTTAGCATTCACTGGATGAAGAAAAACTTAGTGATAAATTTTTCCTCAAATTATTTTACAAAGGTAAGTAGAATTTATTGATGATGATGATGATTAATAATATTAATAATAATAATAACAGTAAAACAGTAATAATATTATTATGCATAATAACATATTTTGATGTTGCAAAACAGTGTATGTATAGTGTAAGAGTGCAAGAAAGTGGGTTGTACGTGTGTACGTGGGTGCATACGTGTGTGTGTGCATATGTGATTATGACCACACAGCCCGAATGCAGCTGGGAGTTGGGCCATGTAGCTGTTTCTAAAATAGGGTTCTCCGTGCTGTAATTCTGTCACTTGAACTTTCTATCCTAGGTACTGGCATTATTGTTTCTCTCTCTCTGCACTGCCTACAGTAGTTTGGTATTTTGTCCCCATCAATTCACGTGCAACGCACATGCATACCCCAAAGGTGTCGGCGCACAGAATGAGGTAGATTAACTCACCATCAGCGCATGCCTCTACAAGCAGCTTGATGATGCTGAGAGAGCCTTTAGCTGCCACCAGATGTAGAGATCGGTCGCCAACTTCACTCGCTATGTTCACGTCCGCTCCGCTAGCAATCAACAGCTCTACAACCTAGATGCACGTAGAAGCCAAAACATCTAGACTTTTTTTTACACGTGTAACACTATACAAGGAATATTGTTAGTGCGAGAAAGTCATGCTAAGCCAGTAATAATTTTAAGTTAATATAATCATAAACACACCTCACGTGATGTGGGATTCTTATATTGTCAGGAAATTAGCCGAGCAGTTCAGAGACATCAGCATAGCAGTTTTCAAAATATTGCAGCTAGGGCTGTTTGTATTATGCCAGACAGTTTAGTTACCTTTTCGTGGCCATAGTAGCAGGCGAGATGAAGTGGTGAAAATTTTACACTATCCTGGTCATTCACAAGAGCAGTGTTCTGCACTAGTTTTCTTACCACCTGTGTGCAGAACCAATTATATTCTTGCACTGATCACATGTGAAATCAACCCAGACTTATCATAGCTACATGAACCTCCTCTTTATCGGAATCGCCTGCTCATGGTAATATCTACCCTATTATGTCAATGTATACCTCCTAATGATAATATTTACCCTCCCATGATAATATTTACGTCATGATAATAAATAGGCCGTGGCTACGCGTCCGGTTACCGGATGCAGAGCTCCCAGGCTACGCGGCAGGTGTAATTCTTATGTGATCACAACTATATTTTTTCAGTAAAAAACAATAAACAATAAGTTTTTACCATTATATTACTTACCTTTAGGTATTTTATCAAAAAAATGTGCTTTGTAACTTTTGAAGCAATAGTAAATCCATTAAAATCAACGATTTGAAAGGGGGCATGGCCTAATCGTGACGTGGATTTGGGAATCTGTGCTGAGCTTTGTAATGGATGACCGGATGCGTAGCCACTGAGTAATATGTAACACATCATAGTAATAGTTACCTGGCCCATAGTTACATTTACCTGATTATGGTATCTATTACCTCCCCATGATAATATTTGCGTCATCTTGGTAGGATTGATTTCATCACGGTAATATTTACTTCACTGTGATGATAATAATTACATCCTTGCCCTACCATGCACTTACTTCTTCGTGGCCACACATAGCTGCAACATGCAAGGGGAAGACGCCACCAAACCCAGCTTTTCTCATGTCCGTATGACAAGCAAGGAGAGCATCAATCAAGTCAACATCTCCCTGAAAGATCATCAGTCACAGTTGCAAGAAAACAATAATAATCAACTGTATAACCCTCATGTACAATGTACAACATATTGCTTGCAGTGAATAACAGTTATAATATCTTTTTGTGTTTTAACCATTAACATCAAAGTTCCAAATAATTTTCATGTTGCACCCTCATAGTCATATATACATAGTTTACCTTGTAGCAAGCCAGATGCAGTGGAGTCAATCCATTCTTGCTTAAAATGGAGGGATTCAGATTTTTGCTAACTAGGAAGGAAATAAGCTGTTTCGATCCTATAATGAGAATGACATAAAAGATTAAAGGGACAGTAGCCTCTAGGATTTTACTGCATACAACTGTACTTACTGTATAACAAATCATCTATACCCACACGTATTTGTTACCAGATACCTAATTTAATTGTTATAATTAATTACACATCAACGCTACGAAATTTGAACGGCGCCATGACACCCGCGACCGTGCTGCCACCCCCAAAAAAGTTGCGTATTTGACAATATATTTTGCACGTTACAGACCGAGGGCTAATCACAAAAGTGCAATTGTATTTATACCTAAATGCTATTTAACCGAACGATATTCATTTTAGGGCAAATTTATCCATATTATAACTGAAACTATATGTCATTTATAAGATATTACAATCCTTTTGCTTTTAAATGAATAAATAAAAAACACCCTCGGTCTGTAGCCTTGGCTGGAAAGTGGTTTTGCGCAACTTATCAGATCGTAGCGCTTATGAGTGAGCACCCCCGTCGTTGGTAATCAAACTGTAGTCGTTAGTTTAAAACATTTTTTTTAATATTTCTAAATGGTGATTGAACCATGAAACTTTTTATGTAGCGTAATTATAACCTAAATTAGCTGAAAATAACCCTAGAACCTAGAGTAAACTCTCCCTTTAAAGGTGAAAATAACGTATTTTTCATTGCCAACTTTTTACGTGCTACATTTAACTTTCTCTTGAATTGTTTCATTTTACTTTAAATATTACACATCTACAATAAAATTTAATTGATTTCAATTTCCTAATTTAACAAGCTGAACATGACAGTATAGAAGAAAGCTGTAACATGTATGTTGTTTGGTATAGGGTGTGCCGTCTATGATAGATGGTGAACAGTGTGTGGTGTAGGGTACATAGTATATAGTGTATGGTGTATGATAGACAGTGTATGGTGTAAGGCAGGGGGGTATGGTATAGGGTGTAGGATTCAAGATGGAGGGATGAGATGTACTTCTCACCACCAGTGATGCAACTCAGGTGTAGCAAAGTTAGACCTGTCTCTGATCTCTCTTGAACATTTTCCTCTGTCACCAACTGCTCAACCTTACAAATATCATTCTGGCTGAAAGAGAGAAAAGATTATATTTTCACACAAGTATATGCATGCTATCCATATAAAGCAAAATAGCTTTATACTTTATAACCCCCATTAATAAGTTTTACGAGATATAATGTAGCAGTATTTGGAAGACAACAGTAGAATGCTTGCATATATTTGGCAAGAAAAATCATTTAAAAAACACAAAGCAATTTGAGAAGAAAATCTAATCTAGATATGAATATCAACTGCAAAGAAAAAATGGTTGCAAAAACTGTCTTTGAAAGGGAAATAATATCAAGAATGCCAACCTGCATGCCTGCTGTTGTTTCGCTCAGTCGGCTGATGTAACCTGAGGTCCTCTAATGACCTTGACCGTAAACAGAGTAACTCTCACTGATTCTCTCTTTTCCGCTCCTCTGAAATAACAACACAATGTGGAAACCCAATAGTACATGTGGTGGGTTTGGCAAATCATGCTTTCACAGATGATATCTAATATGTTTGTAACCATCTGAAGTGTTAGGCTATCAAAACGAGTTTACAAAATGTGTTCGCATTGACTGTGCTATTTGATTTTTAGTGTTTCAAGGTTTTGAGTAGATTAATGGGACAATGAATTCAAATGCATTAGCTGTCATCTTCTTACCAAGCAGGATATTTGTAAGTTCTAGACTTGTAATTGCCCATATCGACCTGCTCTAACTCCTGCTCATGATATAATTAATGTACAAATGTGCAATCACACTCCATGTTATATCCCAGCAATGATGATGAATGAAGTATATACATGCTCGCCGCACATAGCCTTGGGCAGTCTACATCTTCATGATGGGACTGGGAGAATTCTCACACCTGTCATAAACCAGCACAGAATATTGTAAGGCCAGAGTGTAAAATAGATAGAATTATTTGAGGAACAATGGTCCTATGTCCATTACTTAGGAATTCAATAACATAATACATTCATATTATAATCAATAATAAACACAGCCACATGTCCACTATTGGTTACCAACGATTACATGCAGTGAAAAGATAGGTACTAAGGAGTCCGTAGACCTATGTAAACAGGTTTCGAATATGGGTTGGATAGTTGATTTATACGATTCAGTAATTACTACCATTCATATGTGCATGGGTTCCATTCAAGATGAACGTCCAACCAAGTTGTGGTGCATAGGCCACTTATGCTGTTTTTTATTCCTAAACATGATGGTAAAAAATAAAATTGCATTTCTAACCAAAGTTATC